AGAGACGAATCAGATCTCTCAACACATCTAATTCAAATTGCAATTATATTTTGTTGTAATGAATTCATTTTATTGTTTATGAATGCATATGTTTTAAAAGATACATAACACATGTACATCTTCAAGCTTAGAAGAAAAAATAATAACAAGTACTATACGTATTTCAAAGAGACAGTGTTTAGCAAATATTGGTTTATAGCCAATTTGTTTGTTATAATACAAGCAGATACTAAAAGTATATTAACTATATTCCTCTAAGTATTATGAACAAATAACTCAGAATTTAATATTTGCTGGTGACAAAAGTTTTATCTTGATTAAAAGTATGGTTTTGATGAAAAATTATAAAATAGGATTTTAGTATATAAGTGAGTGATTCGCCACGTACAGGAGGACCATGGAACAAGCAAGGTAACCATAAAAGCTACAGTGGTTTGCTGTGTAGCACTGGAAGTGCCCCCAAGTTCAAGATAAACATTATTTACAGTATCCAATGTAAAGTTCCATACCAGATATTTTATTTTCTTACAGATGGTGAGTTTTACACATTGGGTTTTTTCAATGCTTGATCATGAATGGTGGCGACACCAATTCATCTGCTGATAATATTTTGCTGCCTTCGAGACATAGTCTACGTTTAAACATCTTGCATCTTGGTGTCTGAAGATTCATCAGTTCCTTTTTCTTGTGACTTGATGTTCATCTGTTTCCGTGGGTGATATGAGCCCATACCTGCGGCGGCCTCTGCTTCTTTCTCTGTGTAAGGTTCCGTTTGTAATGCCTTTAACCTAGTAAAATCAATTTGATTGCATGTTGTATAACTGAGAACTTATTATATCTTGTATAATTAAAAAATATTCAAACTTCAGATTTTTACCAAGGGTTAACTTTTTTAGAGCTAATGCTGTTGGAATAATAATATGGTAACTTTTATTGAGACAATATAATAAATTCGCTTATATATTTCTCAATGCGCTTTTCACTAACTAAAGATGGGAGGAAATACAGAATAAATAGAAAAATAAATATATAGCTTAACTGCACAAAGTCTAAATTGTAAAATCCATTTGTATAGAGATATTGAAATCGACATCAATGGAGATTTCATATCATTTCATTTACTTAATCAGACATGTGCCTTGGGGTCCCAAAAGCAACCACCATGACAAAAGCTAAAGGGGAATAAAATAAAAAATATAGAATAAAACAAAAACAAAACAAAAACAAAAAAAAACAAAAAAAACAAAAAAAAATATATATATATATATAGCTTGATAAAGACTTATAGTCGAAAGTACTCGCTAACTCTGAAAAT